TGCCTGAAAGCCTGCTGTGAAGCATAGGGCCAGGGGCCTCCACTGAGAATCCAGAGGGTGTAGCCAACACCCATAATCTGGAGGGCAGGACCATTGTCCAAATGGTCTCAGAGAAGAGAGGATTATTTTCAAGCCTTGAGAGAGCTATTGTAATTTGTTCTGCTGGGTTTTGGACTTTTTTTTTTTTTTTTTTGTACTTCAGGTGAAGGTTTACAGAACAAATAGTTTCTCATTAAACAGTAGTACACATATTGTTTTATGACATTGGTTAACAGCCCCACTACATGTCAACCGTCTCCCTTCTCGACCTCTTTTTTTTTTTGGTGAAAATTTACATAGCCAAAGATACACCATTTCAGAAATTTCTACGTGCACAGTTCAGTGACATCGACTACACTCTTCTGATTGTGCTCCTATTCTCACTTTAGATGAAGGTTTACAGATCACAAATAGTTTCTCATTAAACACTTAGTACACATGCTGCCCTATGGCAATGGTTAACAACCTCACAACACATCAACACTGTGGTTTTGGACTTTCTTGGTGCTTGTTTATCCCTTCTTTCCCTCCACTTCTCCCATTTGTATTGGAAATGTCTACCATGTGCATGTTCTACCATTGTACTTTGCAAACAGGTAATTTGTATTCTAGATTTCACAGGTGAAGAGGAATTTTGCTCCAGAATGGAATATGCCTGAAATCTCACCAATATTTGATGTAGATGCTTCAGAAGATAATATTTTGGACTTGTAGTTGATTTAATATTTTTGGGATGATGTGATGGGGTGAATGTGTTTTGTATGTGGCAAGGACATGAATTTTGGGGGGCCAAAGAATAGAATTTATGGATTGAATTGTGTCCCCTAAAAATATGGGTCATAAATTCTAACCTGTATGCCTGTGGCTATAATCCCATTTGGGAATGGGTTGTCTATGTTATGTTAGCAGGCAGATTAGTGTAGGATGTGTTTTGAGTCAATCTCTTTTGAGAAATTAAAGAGATTAAACAAGCAAGCAGAAAGAGATGGGGGTAGACACATGCCAAGGCACATGAAGATTGCCCAGGAGTAGAAGCCCAGAAGAGACAAGGTACTTCCTCCAGAGCTGACAAAGAGAGAAAGCCCTACCCCTATAGCAGTGCCCTGCGTTTGGACTTTTAGCCTCCTAAACTAAGAAAATAAATTTGTTTGTTAAAGCCATCCACTTGTGGTATTTCTGTTACAGCAGCAGTAGATGACTAAGACAGGCAGGTTCTGAGAAGTGGAATTGTTAGGTCCCAGGGTATTTAGTTGTTAAGTAGCTCTCTAAAGTGACTGTATAAATTGGTACTTCCAATTTGAGAATTAAGTAGTTTTTATATTTTTTAAAACGCTATAGCAAAATTGCATTTTATTACATTTTTCCTTAAATATAATAATGTGAGATAATGATACAGGTAGTTACTAATTAACCACTGGCTTCCGTTCCAGCGACACCATTGTTAAGTCAAATACCTTTCTTTTTTTAAGTTTTCATTATTATTGCCTTTTATTATCAGTATCTTCATAAATTTTTAAAGGTATTAGAATATTTCTTAAAAAATTATACTGGTATATAGTGATAATGCCTCACTACTGATGTTTGAAAAGTAGAGATATTAAGATCACACACTTGCTTATGTGTATTTATACATACTAGGAGCCTCTAGTAGCTTAAATTTGTTTCTTAGGTTTCATCTGTTGTGTCTGTGTATATCTGTAATGTGTCTGTGTGTGTGTGTATTTTTTCCTCTAGGTTGATTGCCTTACAGTTTCAGGTTTTCTCTAATGACATACAGGCCAATTTCCATATTTGTTGAAACATGAGAAAATGAAAAGCCTGATAGATTTCTTTCCATGTTAATACATACAGATTTACTTCTAAAAGTTTTAAATTATTCTTTTTGTGTAGATGTACCACAGTTTAACTGTCCCATATTAATGAATATAGAGGATGTTTATTTAAGTACAGTTATAAGCAAAGATGCAGTGAATGTCTTATATACACATCCTTGTACCTTGTCTTGATTCCCAGATAATTTTCCAGAAATGGAATTGCTTTATCAACAGATATATGCATTTTGAATGACAGATTACTTCCTTGAAAGATTATACCACTCTTTACACTCTTACCAACACCATGAGAGAAGTTTCCATTTCTTTACAGGCTGACCAGTACTGAGCATTCTCTTTTTTGCCAATTTGATAGGTGAAAAATGTTTGTTGTTTTAGTTTATTTACATTTGTGTATTAGTGCAATTAAGTGCCTTCTCATGTTTGGCCATTTGTATTTCTTTTTTAAATCATTTGTGCATCCTTTACCCAGATTTATATATTTGTTTTTTAAAAGCTCAGTATCGTCCTTATAACTGAAAAAAGACTGGGTTGGTGAGGTGGCCTAAGTAAGCAACACAAAGGGCTTCCTTATGTTGAACTTGGAATTAGACAAACTTGTTCACCCAGTTTGGTGTTGCATAACTGTAATCCCTCTGCTACTTCTATTGCGGTTCTGCCTCTGTGAAGTTGACGGTATGAAGAAGCAGACCAAAACGCTTCCTTTTTGTGGGCAGTTAGCTCCCGAGGAGGAGCTCTGGTAGTGCAGTGGTGCTCAGCTGGTAACCGAAAGGTTGCTGGTTCAAACCCAACCAGCTCCTCTGTGGAGAAAGACCTGGCAATCTGCTCTGGTAAAGATTACTGGCTAGAAAACCCTATGGAGCAGTTCTTCTCTGTCACATAGAGTTGCTATGAGTTGAAATCGACTTGATGGCACCTGATATCAACAACAACAGCAGCTCCCCCCAAAAAAGGGGGAAAGGATGCTGGCTTTGCATTTCATTTCTTTTCCAAAACTCATTAATCAGGAAACTTACTCTGTTTCCATGGAGAGGCATTGATACAAAGGAAGGAGGAGTGTTGAGGAAAATATTCCTCATGGCAAACTGAATGAATTTTTAGGGCCACTTAGTAATCAGTAGTAAGAAATTACTTCATAATATATTTCATGTCCCATATTCTTCAGTCATATTGTCCAACATAGTTTTTCACGTATTCTATGATGAGATTAAATTATGACATTGATAAAATTCATATAAACATTCCAATTACAATGCATGCATAAAAGATTCTGTTTATAAAATGACAATATCATAGATGCTCCAAAGTTAAATGTCAACTTTTCCCATTATACATCCTGGGGAGGAATTACAGCTGACACATTCAGAAAAGTTCAGAAAAAAATCTACACTAAACTGTTTTTGAGTTAAAGACCAAGAGCATAAAAGTCTGAAAAATCTCTTTTCCTTTTAAAGCCTGAAGAAATAAAGTTCAAGGGTTCTTCCTCCCCGAGTTCTACTCAGTTTTAGCTGGGAGTTATTCTCAATGTCTAGGTAGAATGGGGCCATTTTGATTTTTTAATAAAAAGATTATTAACAGTCACATTGCAAATATTTTTTCTTCAGTTTTTGTAGTTAAACTTCATTTTGTCATTTAGTATTGATGTTAAAATTTTATTAAAAAGTTTCTATGTAGTCAGAGTAGTTTTTTTTTAATAATTAGTTTCTGACCTTGGTTTCATGATTATAAATGTCTCATGATTTGTAATAAAGCTAAATAAAACTTGCTTGTATTGCCTAGCCCTTAGTTTCTATTACATCACATAGTTTTTATAAAACTGTATTTTATAACTTCTAGGCATTAAATTTACTTGCCTACTCAGCCAGCAATATTTTGGAGCATGTTTTCCACTTTGTTGAGGGAAAAGTCCCACAAATATTCTATATTGTATAACTTTCATAAAGTATAGTATCTACAGAGTATATTTTAATCAAATACTAGATAATGTTCAGGCAAATACTGTTCTTTATTAGTAATTTAGACCTTTTCCTCCCCCATGGAGTTCAGTTTTTTTTGTCCTACTTGCCTGTCTTTTTTTTTTTCAACTGCATTTAGTTTTTCTTAATGAAATATTTTATCCATACACACATAAACACACACATGTCTACCTAAAAGTATAACAGCGAATAAAATGGATACCTGTGTACTCAGTATTTTGCTTTAGAAATAGAATACTATAATAGTGTTCAAGATCCCTGTATGCCCATTCCTAATTGCATCCTCATCTTTCACCCCTCTTCCTTTGATAAGAACTCTGTATTGGCATTTAAATCTGCTTCTGGATTTTAACTCAAAGATTGCTTTACTTTATTCTGTAGATTGGTCATGGCCATGATTTATGAGATTCATATTTTGCTTGATTACTGTATTGTCTGTAGATGTAGATCTCAAGTTTATTCTGTTATTGAATATTTGCTTTAGGTCATGTTTAGCTAGACAATCATGCTATCTGACCATCTTGCTAGATAATGAACCAAACTAAAAGGCAATGTAAGAACTTTTTCATTTGAGAACAGTATATTGGTTTTTATTGTTAACTGAGCTCTTATTCAAGATAGGGGCAGATAGTAATCCCATGATAACTCTTGTACAAACTTTTACAGTGGCCAGTTACACTATTTTATGGCGTGAATCTAGGTACAACCTATTATGGTTGCCAAACCTGTTTGTTTTCTAGGACAAATAGTTTGAAGGCTTCTGACTTATTTTCTGGGTGCTTCTTGGTGAATGTATTAATTGTATAGAAAAATGTATCCCATTAGAGATTACTTGAGTCGCTAACTTTGTATTAAAACATGTTTTATTTCTAATTTTATCATGTAATAGTTCTTTTAATGAATAGATTTGGTCTGTCAATTCAGTGTAAGTAAACTGTTAATGTATTTCTCACATATTGATTTGGACACTGAAGACCAATTTGAATCAAAGTGTTGAATGTAGTTGATTTCTTGTTAGGAATTTGAGTTTCAAAACTTTGGATTTTGTTGAGAGTAATGACTACGCTGATTGACTGAAATTGGTACAGTGTTATTTTGTTAAATATATTGAATGAAGTGGTTATATAAACAATTCTGTGTATTTTTTTTTTAGAGCTCAGTTCTCCCAAAATTATAAAAGCAGGAAAACTCAAGACAAAGAAGACCAATAAGGTATGTCTTCATAAGAAATAGTTCTTTACTATATTGAGTTTGAAAATTGTTATTGACTCCTCTTAGATTTGTATAAGTATATTTTTCTTCCAATTGTATCACTGATGTTAGTTTGTTAGTATACTAGAGAACTGTAGTTTTTATCCAAAATCTTTTGTTGTCATGTGTACCTTGTTTTAGCTAGTTAAATTATGCTAGAAATTTTATGATAAGCCCAGGCATTCTTACTTCAAAGTGTTCTGTTGTTCTGAGAGGCTTTTAGATTAACTTGGCAAATGGCCTACATATAATTGAATGTAGACTTTTTTAAAAAATTACTTTCACTTTTGGAAAATATTTTTTCTTTTTTCTTTTTTAATTGTAATTAGATGAAGTTTACATTTCAAGTTAGTCTCCCGTACAAAATTCTTTTTTTTAACATACATTGTTATGAGACCCCAACCGCTCACCCCATTCTGCGACAGCACACTCCTCACCTCCACCCCTGATTCCCATGAACATTCAACCAGCTCCTAACTCTCTCTGCTTTCCCATCTCACCTCTGGACAGAAGCTGTTGCTTTGGTCCCTTGTATCTACTTGACTAAGGCACATTCTTCACGAGTATCACTTTATGTCCCACAGTCCAGTCCAATCCCTGTCTGAAGAGTTGGCCTTGGAAATTGTTTAGTTCTGGGGTGATAGAGAGTCCAGGGGCCATGCTCTCCGGGGCGCCTCCAGTCTCAGTCAGACCATTAAGTCTGGTCTTACTAGAATTTGAGTTCTGCATCCTATCATTCTACTGCTCCATCAAGGACCTTCTGTTGTGTTCCCTGTCAGGATGTTCATTGGTGGTAGCCGGGCATCATCTAGTTCTTCTGGTCTCAGGCTGATGAAGTCTAGAAAATATTTTTTCTGTTTATAATTTTGAAAACTAATTCGTGAACATAACACTTATTTATTACTTCTTAGGCTAGTGATTTCGGCGACATGGCAAATTGGCCAACACCAAGCGAGTTAGTGAACACTGGAGTGAGTATAATTTTTTTTGTTGTTTTGTTTTATTCTTTTTTTTTTATTGTACTTCAGGTGAAGGCTTACAGAACAAATAGTTTCTCATGAAACAGTAGTACACATATTGTTTTATGACATTGGTTAACAACCCCACAACATGTCAATCCTCTCCCTTCTCGACTTTTTTTTGGTGAAAGTATACATAGCCAAAGATACACCATTTCAAAAATTTCAACATGCACAGTTCAGTGACATCGACTTTGCTCTTCCAGTTGTGTTGCTATTCTCATTTTAGATGAAGGCTTACAGAACAAAATAGTTTCTCATTTAACAGTTAGTACACATGTTGCCCTATGACAATGGTTAACAACCTCACAACACATCAACACTATCCTTACTCAACCTTGGGTTCCCTATCACCAGCTTCCTTGTCCCCTTCTGCCTTCTGGCCCTTGTCCCTGGACTGCTGTACCTCATTAGTCCCATTTGGTTTTATGCGGCTGTCCTAGAGTGACTGTTATTTTAAGGCTTTTTTTTAATAAAAGGAAAATATTTCATCATGCAGAATTTATTTTTCTTAAGATCTAGAAAATTGTAGCATTGTGGATAGATATAAAGACTAGATTCTTCTAAAAGATTACTTTTTGTTAATTTGCATCATCTTTTTGCATTGCCAGTAGTATTAGTAATGAACTTAGTGTCTTAAGCTTTATGTATTGTAAGATTTACCTGTTATTTCTGTGATGATTATATGTTATAAATTATAAATCAAAATTTTATTTTTGTATAAAATTACACATTGATAAAGAGGTGCTGTAAGCTTGGCAACTACCTCTTTTATAGTTTTACCTATTTTCCAGATGCCTGATCTCATTCATCATATTTCCCCTTTCTGGTTGTATTCTCAGGAGGTAACCTTGAGTTTGGAGTACCTTGCTGTTGTCTTCACCTAATGCCTACAAATAATGTGATTTAATATAATGCGCCTAAATGAAGGCTGTTTTATATTTCTATGTATATGTATGTTTTCTTTGATTTACAATATTTTCAATATGTGTTGAAGTGCTAAATGTATATATGTATATATATAGACATACATACGTATTTCATATCAAGAAGTGTGCAATGAATAGACTTTCAGTTTTATTTAACTGTATCTATAAACGAAACTCTGAAAGTTGTCTCGAAAATATCCCATCAAGGACTTTGAAGAGGAATAGCGTATATGGTTATCTGATTACATGTCTTTATTTGACACCGTACACTTTGATATTTGTAATTTGTGCAGTATTGTTGGTGTGTAGTTGTAAACGTATCTATTTAAACAGCTTAATTGAGGTATAAACGACATACAATAAATAGCACACATGTAAAATGTACAATTTGATAAAATTTGGCCTGTATGCACCTGTGATACCATCACCACAATCAAGACAATGAACTTATTCATTACTCCCAAAAGTTTCCTCACACTCCTTTTTATATATCTGTGTATATAAAATGTATACACACATACATACACACACATATGTATGATTTTTTTCTGGGTTCTAGCTTTTACACAGCATAATTATTTTGAGATTTATTCATGTTGAGTTTCAGTAGTTCTTTCCTTTTTATCGCTGAGGAATATTCCATTGTGTGGATGGAACACAATTTATCCATTCACCTATCCTTGAACATTTAGATTGTTTCCAGTTTTTGCTGTTACAAATAAAGCTTCTATGAACATTTGTGTACACATTTTTAAATGGATACATGCCTTCATTTTTCTTGAGTAAGTGCCTAGGAGTAGAATGGCTAAGTCATATGGTAGGTTTTTATTTAGCTTTTAAGAAACTGCTAAACTTTACATTTCCACCAGCAGCATATGAGAATTCCATTGACTCTACATCCTCACTAACACTTCGTATGTTCAGTTTTTTAACTTTAGTCATTTTAATAGATGTGCAATGATACTGCATTGTAGTTATTTGTAATTCTCTGACTAATGATGTCAAGCGTCTTTTCATATGCTTGTTTGCCATCAGCAACTTCTTTGAAGTGTGTGGTCAACTCTGGATTTTAAAAAATTTGAGCTGTTTTATTACTGAGTTTGAGAGTCCATTATATATTCTGGATACAAGTCTTATATCAACTTTTTTCTTAACAGTGTCTTTTAAAAAGCAGTGTTTTTGGATGAAGGCTATTTTGTTACTTGTTATGCAATAAATAGGAAAGATGTATATTAAAATAACACTGCAGTAAAAAATATTTACATATATAGCATCTTTATATATAAATTTTTAGATATGTTAGTGAAAATGTTAATGAAAATAATTTCATTCAGAAAACCTTTTTGCAGTGTCAGAGTGTTATTAGCCAAGGAAATAAGAAGCCACAAAATAGAAAAGAAAGGGATGAGAAAATTGAAAAGAGAAGCAACAATGAGAGCAAAGAAAACAGAGAAACAAAATTAGATGGTCCCGGTGAAAATGTCAGTGAAGATGAGGCTCAGTCAAGTAATCAACGAAAGAGAGGTCAGTTTATCATTTTGATTTTAACTTTTTGAAGAAAATTGTAGTAATGATCCTTGGTAGTCACCAAAGTGTATTTTGGATTTTTGGTGATAAGACATCTATAATGGTAACTGATTTGCTTTTGTTACATTTCTTAACTACTAGACTTTCGTTTTTGCATTTGACTTACATATATAAGAAAATAGGATGGAGTTCTGCTTATAGGGATGTTGTAAATATAGTTTTGGGAAGTTGTGTGATAGCTATTGTTTTAAATCTGCATTGAAACTGCTTTCTGTTTTTCAGGGAGTTCTGGGAAAATTAAATCATTTTTCTAAGTGAAAAATAAGAACAATTTTGGTCAGCTTTACTATTTTTCTCATAGCATTACCCTCCTTAAAATAACACTTTGCAATAAAAAAAAAATTTACATATATATAGCATCTCTACATCCTTTTTTCCTGACCTTTCACGTGCCTAGGGATGGATTATGAATTGTCTGTTTTGTAAAAGCGTGTTTTCATGCACTGTTCTGATCCTAGGCAAAAGTGTGTTCAAGGGCCTTGTTATGGATTGAATCGTGTCCCCCAAGAATGTATATCAACTTGGCTAGTATTCCCAGTATTGTGTGAATGTCCACCATTTTGTCATCTGATATGATTTTCCTCTGTGTTTAAATCCTACCTCTGTGATGTTAAATGAGGCAGGAGTAGAGGTTGTTATATTAATGAGGCAGGACTCAAATCTATAACATTAGGTTGTATCTTGAGTCAATCTCTTTTGAGCTATAAAAGAGAGAAGTGAGCAGAGAGACAGGGAGACCTCATTAGCACCGAACAAGAAGAGCCAGGAGCACGTGTCCTTTGGACCTAGGGTCCCTGCACTGAAAAGCTCCTAGACCAGGGGAAGATTGATGACAAGGACCTTCCCCCAGAGCCAACAGAGAGAGAAAGCCTTCGCCTGGAGTTGGCACCCTGAGTTCAGACTTCTAGCCTTCTAAAGTGTGGGAGATAAATTTCTGTTCGTTAAAGCCATCCACTTATGGTATTTCTTTTATAGCAGCATTAGATAACTAAGACAGGCCTATAGGCAGAAAGAACTTAAACTGTAAGAAGGTCAGTGGCTGCACCATGGTGAACTTTGGGGAGAGTGGCAGGAGATGAGGTTGGATAGGTGGGCAAGATCCACGTTATGCAGGGCCTTGGTAACTTGGAACTGGGATTTTAAGTGCCATGGGAAACCATTGAAGCATTGAAGTAATGTGGCATGTGAGGGGACATTTAATGGTGCAGTAGTTGCCAGGCAACTTCTTTAATAATGGAAATAATAACATATCATACATTGATCACTTACTTGAATAGATTTTAAAAATATATGTATGTAAACCTTAGCTGCAGGGTAGGCATTAGGCTCACTTGATACTATGAGTCAAGGCTAATTATAAAGTGGTAGGTAGTAAATAGGATAGCAGTTGGTTGTTGGAAAAATTTGTCCCTAATTCTTTTTAAAAAAATTTTTTTTTAATTGTATTTTAGATCAAGGTTTACAGAACAAATTAGTTTCTCATTAAACAATTAATACACATACTGTTTTGTGACATTGGTTGCCAACCCCATGATATGTCAACACGCTCCCTTTGACTTTGGGTTCCCCATTACCAGCTTTCCTGTCCCCTCTTGTCTTCTTGTCCCTGCCCTTGGGCTAGTGTGCCCATTTAGTCTTGTTTTGTTTTGTATGCTTGTCTAATCTTTGGCTGAAGGGCAAACCTCAGGAGTGACTTCAGTACTGCGCTAAAAGGGTGTCTAAGGACCATACTCTTGAAGATTTCTCCCTAATTCTTAATTGCTTTATTACTTACTGTCTCTTTCCTGCTTCCTAGAGGCATAAGTAGACTTTTGACTGTCTAGAATTCATACAGACAGACCTGTCATCCTTCTCTAAAATTTGTCCTCTTTGCCAGTTACCTCAGTTAAATGTGACCACCCAGCACTAAAAGATCAGGTGTTTTGTAGTTAAAGTAACTCATAATCAAGTCAGGAATTGACTCCCCTAGAGCATACTTTTTTTATCTTCAGAAGATATATGCCAGAGAATCTCATTGATAGAATTTATAGTAGAAGCTTTTCAAAGTTTTTGAGATTCTTTCATACTCTCTTTTCCTCATCTGATCCATAGTTTGCAGGATTTATAGGGTATCAGTACTATAGTTGCACATAATAGTCCTTTTCCCTTAAACTTAGCTTGGTAGTTCTTGCTGTGCCTGAGAATCTTCTTCTTTTGGAAGAGAATATAGATTGGGCAGAAGACTGTTGAAAGTTTTGAAACTTTTTGACTATGCAGTCCATGGATAGGTAGTCTTTTTAAAATATCACTATAATACACTAATTATATTATCATTTAGTCATCAAGAAAAGTTAAATTGTTTTTATCTTTTGTATTAAGAAAGTAGGAAAATGTGTAATAGCTGTAAAAAATTCTGTCAAATGCAGTTAAGCAAATTTTATACTTAAACTTATCCAAGTAACATTTTTGAGAAACCTCATTCTTCAGTAATGATACTATATAAATGAGTATGTTAGTGATCTGAAACTACAATTTTGAGCCATAAACGTGTCTTTCCAAGTGTCTTCTTTAGCCAAAAAATCAAATACTACAAAGGGGCAGTATGTATACGTATTATTTTTGAATAGCTTATGCATCAGACTTAAACACAGAATTTCTGAGAGAACATTTCATTTAAACAAAAGAAATCCAGTGATACCTCCATCGCTGACTTTTTTCGCTTGATTTTTTAAAACATTTGCACAAACAAGTTTATTAAGGAGTTACATGAGCAGAAAAAAGATTCTCTTGGTACTCTGGAGATCCATAACTTGTTTCAAGGGCAAATTAACAGTCTTTCACTTTTTTTTTAATTTAAAACTTTTTAAATCAAAATTTAAAGTGCTTTCTGAATTGCAAAACTTTAATGAAAAATGTACATTGTCATTAAAAGATTTTATTTTGTTTTCTTCAAGCTAATAAGCACAAGTGGGTACCACTCCACTTAGATGATGTAAGACCAGATGGTCAAGAAAGACCAGGATCCCGGAACAGCTCAAGAAGTCAACTTGAAGCAAATAAAACAGCACATAACAATAGGCGAAATGATACACGAAGTAAGTTACATTTTAAGGAAAATGACTAAAGATCTTAATGCTTATTATTTTTTAAAATAATTTATTTTATTTTTGTTGTAGCTGAGCATATACACAGCAAAAACAATTCCAGCTTTCTGCATGTACAGTTCATTGATGTTGATTACATTCTTCGAGTTGTGCAACCATTCATAAACTCCTTTTCTGAGTTGTTCCTTCCCCATTAACGTAAACTCACTTCCCCCTAAGGTTCCTGTCTAATCTTTCAAATTGCTGTTGTCAATTTGACCCCATATAAATAGATCTTAAGAGAGCATAATGCTCAAGGCAGACATTGTTTACTAGTTAAGCTAAATTATGGTTTTAAGAAGACTTCAGGAGGATATTTTTGGTTTAAGTTTTAAAGATTATCTCAGGGCAATAGTTTCAGGGTTTTATCTAGCCTCCATAGCTCCAGAAAGTCTGGAGTCCATGATAATTTGAAATTCTGTTCTGCATTTACCCCTTTTGATCAGGATTCTTGTGTAGAATCTTTGATCAAAATGTTCAGTAATGGTAGACATGCATCATCCAGTTTTCTGGTCTCATGGCAAAGGAGGCAGTTGTTCATGAGGCAATTAACCACACATTCCATTTTCTTTTCCTATTTCTGACTCCTTCCTCTGTTGCTTCTGGTGAATCAAGACCAATTGTTGTACCTTATATGGCCGCTTGCAAGCTTTTAAGACCCCAGGCAGTACACAGTGAACTAGGAGGTAGAGCAGAAGCACTAAACATGTTATTAGGCCAATTAATTGAAATGCCCCATGAAACCATGATCGTAAACCTCCAAATGAAGGAACCAAATGTCATGAGGTGTTTGATTGTATATAAGGAGCCTCCGCAGCTACTCTTTATTTTTTGTAGTTGCTGTAAATATATCTATCACATAACTTTTGACATTTCAGCTTTTTACAGGTGTGCAACTTATTGACAGCAATTACATTAATGCTTTTTTTTTTTTTTTTAGTAACCACATATAGCAGTAACCATTTTGAGTGTAAGTTACAGGTATCATGCCCCTTAAATCTTAAATACCTTCAGAGTATATTTTGTAAGCACAGTAACCATAGCAGTTAATAATAGGGGACTTAACATTAATATAATGTGACCACCTGCAGTCAGATTTTCCTAATGATGTCCTTTATAGTTTTTTTTTTCCCTTTCCCACGATCCAGTCTGAGATCACACGTTGCTTTTAAGTTGTCTTTTCTCTTTTGTTTAAAAGAATCTGGAACAATTCTTCTGCCTTTGTCTTTCCTGCCATTGACATTTTTGAAGACCACTTGGAAACCCTGTGGGGCAGTTCTCCTCTGTCCTGTAGGGTTGCTAGGAGTCAGAATCCACTCGACAGCAACAGGTTTTTTTTTTTAAACAGGACAATTATGTGGTGGATATTCCTTACTTCAGGTTTTCTGGTATTTCCCCATGATTAGATTTGGGTTAAGAATTTTTTGAGGAATTCTACAAAAGTTCTGTGGTTTTCTTCTAAGTGTACTACATGGGAATACACATGATCTTGGTCTCTCCCATTATATGTAATAATCACTAGGATTACTTGGTTAAGGTGGTACTCCAGGTTTCTTCATTCTAAAGGCACTCTTCCCTGGTAATTAATAAGTAATTTGTGGGAAGAGATTTTTAGACCATGGAAATTTTTTACACGTGTGTTAGCTTCCATTGTTGATTCTTGCCTGATTCATATATTACTCTGATGGTTGCTGCAAATGCAGATTTTTGTAACTCCATCATTCCTTCTATATTTATTAGTTGGTATTCTACTATAAGGAACAGCTTATTGTTGTTGTGAGCTCATAGATTTTTAATTTATTTACTGGGTAATGGTTGTTGTTTAGTGTGATGCTTAGATTGTCCCAGATTTGGCTAGTGGGAGACTCTTTTTGTTGGTTTCTGAATCCTATTTTAAAAATCAACTTTACTGAGATGTATGTATTTTATATGTATTAAAATGCACTCATATTACTATCTTCACCCCCAATCATTAATCTACTTTCTGTCACCATAGGTTAGATTTGACTTTTCTAGAATTTCACATAATGGAACTATACAATATACAATATGTACTCTTATGTCTTTTTGCTCAGCATGTTTTTGAGATTTGTCCATATTCCTTATATCAGTAGTTTCTTTCCTGTTGAGTGGACATATTGTTGTTCTGTGCCATTGAGTAGATTTCAACTCATAGCAACCCTATACGACAGAATAGAACTGCACCATAGAGTTTCCAAGGCTGTCATCTTTACAGAAACAGACTGCCACATCTTTCTCCCGTGGAACAGCTGGTAGGTTTGAATCAGTGACCTTGCAGTTAGCACTGAGTGCTTAACTGACCACTGTGCCACCAGGTCTCCTTATTGAATCAGTATGCATATCCCTTATCCATTTCACCTGTTGGTGGATATTTATTTCCTATTTGTGGCTATTATGAATAATGAACATACGTTTGGGCATATGTTTTATTTTCTCAGGTAAACACCTAGAAGTAGATTACCATGGTGTGGCTTATTAAGAGTAAGGATGTGGATTATTATGGTAAATTTATAGTTAACTTTTTAAGAAACAGCCAAACTGTTTTCCAGGTTGGTTGTGTCACTTTACATTATCACCAGAACCAAAAAACTAAACCTGTTGCTGTTGAGTTGATTCCAACTCATAATAACCCTGTAGGACAGAACAGAACTGCCCCATAGAGTTTCCAAGGAGTGACTGGTGGATTCGAACTGCCGACCTTTTGGTTAGCAGCCGTAGCTCTTAACACCGCCAGGGTTTCCACATTATCACTAGCAATGTTTATTTCATTTGGCCACATGTCTTTGCCAACAATTGGGTATTATCAGTCTTTTTAGTTTTAGCTTCTGTAATGAATAGTGGTAACTCATTGTTGTTTTAAACTTAGTTTTAATCTACAGTTTCCTTTCCTCCTACCTCCCCTTTCTTTCAGTTGCTGATGGTTGGGTCACGTATGGAATTGCCCATATTTTGGATTTGGCTGATTGCTTTGTCATGGTGTTATTTAATATCTTCTTTTCTGTATATAGCTGGTAATAAGAGCTACAGGTTTGATTGGATTCAGGTTCATTTTTTTGTGTATTTTGTAATGTATCACAACAGGAGGAAGAAAATGTCTGGTTGTCACTCTTTCAGATGTGTTAAGGTTCAGCTGGCTTAGGTGGTGTTATCCTGTTCCATCCATCATGTTGAGTCACATCAATCTTTCACTTAATGGTTTTGCTTTCATTAAACAGTCATTCCCCAGATGCATTATTTCCAGAGAGTTTTCTCAGATTTCAGAAAGTAGAGGATAGGAGAATACGTGTAAACAGTAGGATGAACGTTTGCTTTTATAGTTTTCTTTTGAAATCTTTTAAGTCTGGTAATTTTTTTAGGCATGTTATCCTGTGCATGGATAAGAAAGACCAAGAAAATTTTGTAAACATGATATTATCATTTAAAAAATTCTAATTTTATTATGAAAAACTTTAAACATACAAAAAGTTGAAAGAATTGTATAGTGAGTACCAGTCTAGCGACCATCTAAATTTAGTAATTTTGCTATATTTAACTCATCCATTCATCTACTGAATCATTTGAAGTAACTTGCAGATATCATGACACTTCTACATTGCTGTCTTAAGAAAATGTATCATTTAAGAAATGCCCTAATCCTATCTAAAATCCAGTCAGTAAATTACAATTTTCTCAATTGACTGTAGGATGTGAATTTAAAACGATAAAACTTATCTAAAGACAAAGTAAGACAGTATTTGCCTTTTGTACCATTGTTTCTCAAATATATTAATTTTATTGTAAAAGTAGCTATTACTCAATTTTAAATTTTTTCTTTTAAATATTAGGTATGTTAAAAAAAAATATCTAAGGTTATAAGGAACAGCAATATAATGAGCACACCTTGGAACTCACCACCTAGTTTAAGAAATGCATGCTACCATGACCTTTGAACTTCTTTGTGTGCCTTCTACAATTTCATCCCATTGCTTTCTTTCTCAGAAAAAAAAGCTTGAGGTTTTTTTTTTTTTTACGTGCTTTTTGAGATTGTCACGCAGTATGACTCCATTTATACACTCTTTGGCACTAATTTTTCACTTAGTCTTATTTTCTTAGATTTTATCCATGTTGGTTGTGTTGCTGTAATTCATTTTTTTTTCTCTTGCTAAAGAATATTTTTGTAGCCATGGTGGCATAGTGGTAAAGAGGTTCGCTGCCAACCAGAAGATCGGCAGTTTGAATCCACCAGCTGCTCCTTGTAAACCCTACGGGGCAGTTCTTCTCTGTCCTGTAGGGTTGCTATGAGTTGGAATCGACTTCATGGCAATGGGTTAAAGAATATTTTACTGTTTTGTAAAGTCTCTTATACTGTTGGTGAATATTTGGATTGTTCCCAGTTTTTTTCCTATTAAATTGCTACCATGAACTTTTTGTGCATGTTTTCTAGTGCACAAGTACAAGAGATTCTCTAGGATAATTTTTTTAGACCGAAGATTGCAACCAGTGAGTGGGTTATAAAACCAGTGTACTGGGTCATGTTTTTAAAAAGAGAAGAGGCAAGGGTGGGGGAGAATAGACCAGAGTGCCTCAAAAACCAACCAAACCCATTGGCGTTGAGTCGATTCCGACTCATAGCGACCCTATAGGACAGAATGCTTCACATAGTAAATATTTTTTCATGACACTTGTGTTTAAATTATATACAAATTTTTATGTATGTACTGGGGTGTATGACATAAGGCTTGCAGTGGCTTGAGGCAGAAATGTATGAAAAAGACTGTTTTAAGATATACACTAAGTATAGAATTTCAGGGTCTAAAGGCAGTAATTCTCAGTGGGGAGTGATTTTTGTCCCCCAGGGATCATTTGGCATTGTATGGAGATAACATTGACTGCCACAAAGGGTTAGGGGAAGCAGGCTACTGGCATCGAGTGTGTAGAGGCCATGGTTGATGCTAAACATCTTATAGTGCACAGGACAGCCCTCCACAACTGGCCCAAAATGTCAGTAGTACCAAGTATGAGAAACCCTGGTCTCTGGGATATGTGTACCTTCAAATTTATTAGATGGTTCCAAATTGCTTTTCAAAGTGAATGTGCCTGTTTCCACTTTCATTGAAAAAAAAATAAACCAAACCAATTGCTGTAGAGTCAATTCCAACTCGTTAGAGACCGTATAGGACAAAGTAGAAGTGCTCCATAGGGTTTTGAAGGCTGTACGGAAGCAGACTGCCACATCCTTCTCCCGCGGAGCGGCTGGTGGGTTTGAACTGCTGACCTTCCAGTAGACCTTCCGGATAGCAACCGAGCACTTCCCTTGGTGCCACCAGGACTCCTTTCACTTTAATTAGCAGTGTATAAATTTGATGTTATCAAACCTTAAACTGTTTGCCCTACTGGGACAGGTGACATACTCTTTCACTGTTTTCATTTCTGTTTCTTGCAGTCAATGAGCTGAACACCGTTTTCTGTATTAATTGGTTGTTTCTATAGCCTTGTTTGCCCTATCCATCTTTTATACATTTTTTTCCATTGAGTTGCTTTGTGTGTGTGTGCACGTGTGTTTCCATGAGAGAGAAATATGATTTCTAGGTATAATTCCTGTATTGTATTACAATCATCCTCTCCCCATTTGTTTTGTCTTTTTTTTTTTTTTTAAAGGAACTTCTGAAATGGAAACATCCTTTCCTTAAACATTTTGTGAAAATAAGTAAATTTCTAGGTGTTTTATGTAGTGAAAACTCTAGTCTTGGAACTTGTATTCTTCAGTCTTCAAAAGTACACTCTTAATAAAGGACCTCTTTGTTTTTCTAGTATTTTACTCATGAGAATGTCTTTATGTGTCAAGACTTTTTATGGGCCCTCTTTTATGCTAGAGGTGTTTTGACAAATTCCTGTGGGGTCTCTTAAGTTTATATATATCTGAAGAATGCCTTGTTGCTATCAACTAGTTACAAAGTAGAGGAGGATGGTTACCATATTTCCGTAGAGATAATCATGTCATTTATAATTGCAAATTAAAGCACATAAAATATTTTTTATTTTAAAAAGGTTGGAGGCGAGATAGAGAAAAGAGAGATGATCAAGATGAAGCTTCCAGTGTGAGAAGTGAGGGTGGTAACATCCGAGGTCCCCTCAGAGGACGGGGAAGAGGACGAGGACGGGGAAGAGGACGGGGACGGGGAAATCCTCGATGTACGGCATGATGTTTCGTTTTGTTAAATTAGATGGATTTTTTAACTGATATTTTTTATCTGATAATAAAGATGGTTTTATATTTGTTACCGCTTGAAGTACTTCAGTTTGGATTTTTCTTTGTGTAACTGTTTCTTCCTTTTTTCCTGTTCTTTGTTTACATCAAGTGAACTCTGATTATTCATGTGGTTATCGAGAACATGGTGAAAGGACGGATCAACCATTTCAAACAGAACTTAATACCAGTATGATGTATTACTATGATGATGGTACAGGCGTACAGGTGTATCCTGTGGAAGAGGCATTGCTTAAAGAGTATATTAAGCGACAAATGTAAGTTGATATCAGACATAAGCAGGTGAGATAGTAGGGTCTGTTGCAGTATCAATCCTTAATGTCATTGACTAGCAAAAACCTTATAACACATTTTCTAAGCTATTAGTAAAAGTTGGAGAATGCTTACAGTATTTCATACTGTATTTTTTTTAGGAAATATGCTACTAAAATAGGTATCTTACAAAAATTTTTTTATTTGGTTCGTGTTATTTAATAAATCTGTTGCTCTCTCTTCTGCTTAGGTATTTCTCTGCTTAAAGGACATTTGTGAACATGTCATGGCATAATATGAGCAATTAAATATACGAATATAAAACTTCTGTATATATATATATTTGAAAATGGCTTATTTGCAATAAGTGTTTTTATTAAAATTTGCATATAAACATAAGTAAAAAAATGATGGTAGATATCTCTTGACTTCTTAGCAATTGACTTTTGAATTTTAAGTTTTTATCTTTTAAATTCTTTTTCTTTGTGACACATTAAAGGGAGGACTAGTTAACATTTTTTAGTTTAGCCTTACTCTAGTTCTCATAGTAGTTGCTTTCTGGCTACTGAAGTTGAGGTCAGGAGAGTATTAGTTTGCTCTGTTGTCTTTTTAAAAAAATCCCTCTGCATTTTACTATTGATGAGAATGTTTTGCATATTTACGTAGTGGTGAGAAGTATGTTCCCAAGGTGATTCACATAACTAATTTGCTGAAATTTGAATTTTCCTTTTTATGTGTTTTTAGGGTGAAGGAAAAATAAATAATTAGGCTATTTTTAAAAGGGCATAAACATTTTTCACACAACTGTCTATTATCTGCCAGAAAATAATTTTAGCATCAGCCGGGCACTTTCCTGGGATGCCTTCATGGTGGATATAATTGGCTTACAGTACGAAGCACTTGTTTATTTCGTTCTTGCTTCTTTTGTTACAGTTGACGCAAACACTGAAGAAAAGGGCCTTTTAATGGGCAGAGAGTGCCTGGCATGTGGCTGTCAACTTCAAACCACTATTCCTGTCTTTTTTGTAACTCTTGCTGCCAGGTCCCTTCTGAGGCCTGACAGCGGACATGCAACTCCATGTCAGAATACTCGGCCTCCAATGTGCTCATACAAGTGAGGGAGGAGCAGAGCTACTTCAGTGTTGACAAAATTTCTGATCATACAGTGTAGAATCCAGAGCTTCTAAGGTAGGACATGATCATGTCCCCTAGGACACTGAGCAAAATGTCAGACACAGCGTTGGTCATGACTACTTTTTCGTTGTTATTGTTTTAGCAGTAGGGTTTTTGGCAAATGTTAGTAGAATACCAGGTTTAGGTTGGCTCCTTAATGTTACCATTCTTTAGTTAGTGGAGATCTGGCTTTGAGGAGTCATGCTTTTGACTTGGTGTCCTTGAGACTTCTCATACATGAATTGGCTCATTGATTACAGTTTAGATTTTTTTCTCTTTGAGAAGTCACTGAAAAACTTTTCTTTACATTTGTGGAAAAATGATGCTAAATGTATTTTAAAGTGGCTTACACTAAAAAAAAAAAAACCTAACCATTCTGAGTAAGTTATCATTTTAAGGGAAAATTTATATTAGTTTTGTTATTTTTGATCTCAGAATATTAAAAATTTTAAATCTTGATTATGTCTAGCTAGAGAATCCTTGGCATTTGGATGTAGGGATTACTATGTTTGCATCACATTAGAAGTTGTTAAAATATACTGTATTATGTGATAGGCAACAGGGTGATTTATGAATTTATCTGGATAGTTTGGTTTTCAGAAAGTAGTATATTAAAGGGGGCAGCTTATTTTCAGAGTTTTTCTATAAGAACACTTTTAACTTCTGACTGAGTCAAATGTCTTAATGTCTGAAAATTTCGAACAACACGTGTTATGTGCCTGGAGTCCAGGTGGTGCAGATGAATGGTTAAGCACTGGTCTACTAACCCAAAGATGGGCAGTTCGAACCCACCCAGAGGTGCCTCAGAAGAAAGACCTGGCTGTCTGCTTCCAAAGGATCACAGCCATGAAAACCCTACGGAGCACAGTTCTACTCTGATGCACATAGGGTCGCCATAAATAGGAATTGATTTGACAGCAGCTGGTTGGTTGGTTGCTTGTTATGTGTCTACCACATGCCAGGCACTGTGAAAAGGGCTTTTTGAGGTGTAACAAAAATCAGAAAATTCATCTTTCAAGATATAGATTTTTTTTTTTTCCTTCAGTGTTTTAGGAAGAGTAAATGATTTACCAGTGTTAGTAAGATGTCAGCACTACTTTGCTGATGTGGAGCTTGGTGGTTAAAATTACACTGAAAAAGAACGTTTAAAGGCACTTTGCACTTTGACAGTTGGATGAGGATAAATACCCAACTGCAAAGAAACAACTTGGATATTTTAAGGGTTATGAGTTTACATTTTATCCCCCCTCTAATGAACGGTAGCTCAAAACCAGTTTTCAGTTGCCATGTTTTTTCAGAGTTAAAACTTGTTTTAAATACATGATGGGCAGGCATCTTTAGTCACCACGTTTTATACTCCCAAATATCAGCTGGTGTGCTTTCTCATAACTTGCCCATCTTCGAAAATTTTGTTGTCCATGCTATGGAAACAGTGTAGTATTATTAAACTGTATGCCGTATCATCAATAATGTTGTGCATTTCTTTTATAATTTTTTGCTTTTCTACTTTCTTCTTTATTTATCTTGACCTGTATCTTTAGAATTTTCTATTTTTTTTTTAACATGGAGCATAGTTTAAGCAAGTATTTCTCAAAGATTATGATTAAATGTATTCGTATTATCTTTGTGTATATTGGGATTTATAGTTGTTGATCATACAGTTTGTCCCTTTACGTATCTCTTTTGGAAAAGGTTAAGGGGGGCTGTACTCTCCCAGACTAGATAAAGTGTCTAAGCTTTTTTTATAATTTTTTCTCCATAATACCTTGTGGTGTTGTTAATGATATTCCTTGTTATCTATATTCTGTTCACCCTTAATGTTTATTATAGTTGTATCCTTCAAGGAAAAATGGGGAGAATTTGAATCACTCAAATATAAAATATGTATGTGTATGTGCACGTGCCCATGTGTTCACTAAGTGTTTGCTACACATTGTGTCGATTACTAGGGTTGAGAGGTATAAAACAATGTGAGTACTCTGTCAATGTAGAAAACCGTTCTCTGCTATATGGGTAATGTGAACTTGACAAACAGTATTTCCAATATACTTTTCTTCTCAGTGATGAGAAAAAGTTGAAGTCAATTTGTTGACATGTGTTGAGCTTTGTTACGTAGTGTTTAATTGAAGCAAGTAGAACTGATTTTGTAGTGAAATTTCACTTAATTGACTCATTAAAAAAATTGATTATTGAACTATTTTAAAGTAAAATTACTTGGTTAATTTGTTATACTTAGGTAAAGCTGATCTAAATAAAAGTTAATAGTGTTTTGAGAAGATAATCAAGAAGATACTTTCTTTGCACTCTTGTGTAAGAGAAATCATTAATTTGGTAGGTTTTTTTTTATTTTTTATTTTTTTTTTACTGTCACCTCTTTATGTACATTATATTATGTGATATCTATATGTTATTAACCAAATTAATATACTTTTATAGCATTTGATGTTGTAAGCAATCAGTATTTTCTTGTTGAATAAATTGATGAAACTTACATTTACTTTCTTATTTCTCTCTTCAGTGAATATTACTTCAGTATAGAAAATTTGGAGCGGGACTTCTTTCTTAGAAGAAAGATGGATGAACAAGGTTTCTTGCCTATTTCCTTGATTGCTGGTTTCCACCGTGTTCAGGCTCTCACTACAAACCTTAACCTCATTTTAGAGGTAATTATACATTTAATAACCAACTGTAGTTGCCTAAGGCTTAGGCTGCGTTTTGTGGCTTTTATTCATTTTGTAAAACTCAAATAAATATCTAACCTTGGAAAACCCTCAAAGAACTGCTAACGAGATTTCCATCTATTTTTTTTTTTAATTGTACTTTAGATGAAGGTTTACAGAACAGATAGTTTCTCATTAAAAAGCCAATACACATATCGTTTTATGACATTGGTTAACAACCCCATAACATATCAACACTCTACCTTCTCGAGCTTGGAGGACCTTTTTTTTTGGTGAAAGTATACATAGCCAAAGTTACAAGTGTCTACGTGTACAATTTAGTGACATCGATATCCTTTTCCAAATTATTCCATCACCGTTCTCTTCATCTCACTGCACCCTAGGCTTCCCATCAAACCTTCTGAGTTGCTGTTGTCAATTTGATCTCCCATAGATAATTTGGTGTTTTTTTTTGTACCTTAGATGAAGGTTTGCAGAACAAATAGTTTCTCATTAAACAGTGCACACTGCCCTGTGACAATAGTTAACAGCCCCATGACATGTCAGCACTCCCTTCTCAACCTTGGGTTCCCTATCACCAGCTTTCCTGTCCCCTACTGCCTTCTAGTCCTTGTCCCTGGACTGCTGTGCCTCATTAGTCCCGTTTTGTTTTATGAGGCTGTCCAATCCCCGGCTAAACGGTAAACTTCGGGAGTGACTTCGCCACTGAGCTAAAAAGGTGTCCGGGAGCCATACTCTCATGGTATTTCCATCTGTTTTTAATCTGATCCTTCAAACTTAAACCTTCTTGGGTGTTCTTGGTCCTTTAGGCTTCTTCATGTTCCTGTAAATTAGCATATATTCTCATTTATTAAAGTTTTAGGGATTTTTCATGTGCTATAGAAAGGCTAATTTAAAGCATTCTTTGTAGTTGTGGTCTTACTGCTGTTATTAAATCTCTTCTGCTTCCCACATTTTTGGTTTGTTCTGTTTCCTATCCCCTGTATTACTGACAAGTCTCTTAACAGCAGGTAGTCACAAAAAGGAAGAGAAGGAAATTTTTTTTGTAAGAAGGGAGGATGCGATGCGAGACTTCCTGAAGGGACAGGAGCTTTTGTAACAGGGAACTTGGCATTATTAACAGAATAAACTGTAATGTCTAGTTTGATATTACTTCCCCTACGTCTGCACCCTCTCCTCAAAAAAATAGGTGGAGGCTTATTGCAAAAATAAAGATAATGATGAATGGCGATAAGTAAGTCTTTAAGTGAGAGGATATGTTGTTGAACAAATGACAATGATACTTATTTGAGTAAACATGTCACAGTATGTATTATGGGCAAACAAATTATTACTGAAATGTTTATTTTGATTTTTGTAGCAGACTACTAATTGAGGCCTAGGTAAGTAACATTCTCCAAATTTTTTTTTTACCAGCAGTTTTTTAGTTTAATGCAACTTTAATTTGCAGATCATATCATTTCACATGAATATAATATCAGATGAATTCTAATTCTTTAGTTTTGGGCATTTTCAGAGAACAAGTGGGGTCTGAAGTTAATCATTTCTAAAAGCTTTATGCTATGCTTGAAAAATCATCCGCTATTCAAAAGTAGGAGCCCTGGTGGCACAGTGATTAAGAGCTCAGCTGCTAACCAAAAGGTTGGCAGTTTGATTTTACCAGCTACTCCTTGGAAACCCTATGAGGCAGTTCTTTTTGTCCTGTAGGGTCACTATGAGTCATTCAACTTGACAGCAACGAAGTTTTTTGTTTTGGTATTCAAAAGTAAGCAGATGATTCACTTCGTTTTAGGAATTAATTGGGCTGTTTATTTCTTGCAGAATGTAATATTCAACACTATAGTTTTTTTGTTTAATGTGTTATTTTCAGATTTGTGAACATTTTCATTTCCTTATTTTTCAGCCCCACAATTTTACTTTTTAAAGTCAGGTTTATTGAGATATTATTTACATACAGTAATATGTACCTTTCTCATTGTATAGTTCTATGAGCTTTGACAAACTCACACCCTTATGCCCCTTTGTGGCCAGTCTTCCCCTGCCTCCACCCCACCGCAGCCTCTGACAACCAGCTGTCGAGGCAGTTCTGACTCATAGCGACCGTGTGTACAACTGAGCGAAACACTGCCCAGTCCTGCGCCATCCTCACAGTCATTGTTATGCTTGAGCCCATTGTTGCAGCCACTGTGTCAATCCGTCTTGTTGAGGGTTTTCTTCTTTTTCACTGACCCTTTGCTTTACTAAGCATGATGTCCTTCTCCAGGGACTAGTCCCTCATAATAACATGTCCAAAGTATTAGTTACTGATAAAACGTTTTTTCCAAAATATTGAACCTGTTAAAACCACCACCATTGAGAGTTTGAATTGCTTCACATCCTACCAACACAGTTGGCAGTTTTGTTTACAACTTCTAATTTATTTGGAAAGATTTCAAACCCATAGGAACGTTTCAGAGTTTATTTATTTTTAATTCAGGTATAAACAACATGCAGTAAATATGGAGATGTTAGGGTATTAAGTTTGATGAGTTTTGAAAATTGTATAAGCCTGTCCTGAATAAGATGTAGAACATTTACGTTATACCAAATACTTTTTTGTGGACTTTTCTTGACAATTCCACACACCCTCCCCATTTACTTTTCTGATTTCTTTTACCATCAGTTAGTATAGTCTGTTCTTGGCTTTTGTGTAAATGTAATTCTTCTGTCTCTGACCCTTTGTTTTTGAGGCTCATTCATATTGTTGTTCCTTACTGTTTTGATGAGTATCATTCCATTGTGTGGATATATTGCAATTTATTTATCTTTTCTCCTGTTAATGGTTCCTATGCTGGGACATTATAACCTGTGAAATGGTGGTTTTTTAAAAAATATCCAGGATGTTGCTTGAATTACCTTTAGAACAGTAACCCTCTCACCCCACTCAACTTCTCTTTTTTAAAAAAATGTTTTGTTTTATGTGAATGTTTACACAGTAAATTAGGTTTCCATTTAACAATTTTTATACAGATTGTTCCGTGACAATGGTTATTACAGTTCTTATAATGTGTCAGCATTCTCATTACTTCCATTCTGTTTGTTCTGTTTCCATTGATCTAGCTTCCCTGCCTCTCCTTGCTTTCTGATCTTTGTGTTTGGTCTCATATAGTTGATTGTTTAAGGGATCACATTACTCTCAGATGATACTGTTTATTTGTAAGCCAATCTATTATTAGGCTGAAAGGTGACCACTAGGAGTGGCTTAAGTTCCAAGTTCAAAGGATATATTAGGGCGATATCCTTAGGGGTTCCTCTGGTCTCTATTGGTCCAGTAAGTCTTGCTTTTTTTTTTTAGGAATTTGAGTTTTGGTCTACATTTTTTCCTCCTTCCATCCAGGAACTTGTAGTGTGTCCCTGGTCTGAACAGTCTGTTGTGGTAGCCAGACACCATCTAGTTTTTCTGGTCTCAGGCTAGATGAGGCTGTGGCTCATGTGGCCTATTAGTCCTGTGGACTAGTTTCCTCTATGAGGCTTTGTTTCCTTTATTTTCTTTTGTTTCAGACAAGTACAGACCAGTAGTTGTATCTTAGATCACCGTTCACAGGCTTTTAAGACCTCAGACGCTACTCGCCAAGCTAGGATGTACAACATTATCTTTATGAACTGTGTTATGCCATTTAACTGAGTTGTCCCACAAAACTATAGTCCCAAGCCTTCAAACCGAGTAAACCAATCCTGCGAGGTGTTTGGTTCTGCTTCTCGTTTTCATTAACATTTTTGAAGAGTCCAGGCCAGTTTCTTAAAAAAAATAGCCCATAATCTGGATCTGCCTTTACCCTTTCCCCAGTCCTCCCCTCCCCCTTTTAAATTCAGTGCGCTGCAATCCTGGAGCGTCATTGTTTTTGATGCTCGATTCCTAATTCGGTAGGTGGAGCCTCGTCTAGCCAGTGCCTGTATTTTGATTTGTTCCTGTTTTCTGTCGCAAGATGTTCCCACTGCGCCTTGTACTGCACCCTTTCTGCAAGGAGCGCTCTTCTTTTTAGTGGGGAATGTTAGATATCAAGATCTGGATGCTGGGTATATTCTTAGCTACTGAGGTATCTTTGCTTACAGGTCCTTCAGTGGACAAAAATAGAAAATACATTTTAGGAGAAAAATATAGATATCATCGTTTCAAACCCAACAACATACTATTCTTCCTTATCTTCCTGCATTTTATTTTATACTCCTCTTTCAGTGAAAATCCTGATTCCCATGAAAGGAGTTTGTTTTTACATAAATTTTAATCCTAATATCAAAGTAGTGTCTTATTGTATAAAATTTAAGTTGAGAGTTAAGTACGATACTAATATTAACGGCATACAAATGTAAGGTTCTTAAAGTAATACACATATTCTTGAATTAAAATAGTGGGTTTTAATTATTGTAAGTTAATAATTATGTAAAGTAAGGGTTTTTATATTATACATTCTTGTTTAATTCTTAAAAGGTGAGTACCCTTGAGTTTCAGTTAGAGTTCAGATAAATTAGGCTTTAGTTCTTATTTTGAAGAAATTCTAGTCTAGTTTTATTTTACCCTTAAATTATATCATTATTATTTGTGAGAGGTACTGTTGTTTAATGGCCAAGAGTTTAGTGGACAGATCATGATTTGAGTCCTGGTACTGCCTTGGATTAGGTCTGTGATCTTTGTCAAGTTATTTTTCTGAGCCTCAGTTTCTTCATTTAAGAATTAGAGGTAATACCTACCTTACAGTTATTGAGAGGAATGGTGTGTGTGTGTATGTAGTTCTCATCTAATAGAAGGTACTGGCTACTACAATAATAAAATGCCTAAATTTTATTTAGTGATATTATTTTAAGGGAAGAGAGAATGGAATATGAAAATGAAGAATAAAAATGACAGTAAAACTTGAGTTAAAGGTATTTTGTTTCTTGTGGGTACAATAATCCTTAAATGGCTGTTGTAATTGTGGAAACCAAATTATCTACTTCGATAGTCTCACGTTAAATCATGGTATTTATACTTTACAGGGGCAAATGATTTTAAAATTTGTTCTGTTAGTTTTTTATTTTTAAATAGTTACAATCCTTTTATGGGTATTTTTAGAAGCATGAACTGCAGTACAGTCTCTGCCAATTGTCATCAGATTTCTTTTTTTTAAAAGTTTATTAGAAGTATGGGACATTAGCAATGGAAGATTTTAAGTTTTTAATAGTTCAAAATTCCTATTTGCCAGGCATTGAAAGATAGCACCGAAGTGGAAATTGTGGACGAGAAGATGAGAAAAAAGATAGAACCAGAAAAATGGCCAATTCCTGGCCCTCCTCCACGTAGTATGCCACAAACAGACTTCTCCCAACTGATTGATTGCCCAGAGTTTGTACCAGGCCAAGCCTTTGGCTCACATACAGGTAACAGCTTTTGTTCTAGAGCAGATAGCGTAACTTTTGGCAACACTATTTGGTCCATATTTACCTGTCCTTTTTTTAGTTTGCTTGGATTCAATAGGAAGAGTAAAGATAGCTAAATGACTTTGATGCTCTAAATTCTGTTCATATTGCGTCCCACGCAGAGCTATAAGTTAATAGGTATCTAAGAATTATAGGCAAAGCTCTGTTCTATTTATTCTTAAATTGTGTACTTTGTCAAGTATGGATTTTCTGTGAATTTCCTTTTAATTTTACTAAATAATAAGATATATTATGCCAATTTTCACCTTGTAAGATGAAATAGTCTAGATATTCATGCTTCAAAGAACAGTCTTATACTCAGGAGTAGGGTAGGTGTCCTTTCATTTTGTTACCAATGTATTTCAGCCTTGTTTTGAAAAGACAGGTTACCTACATTCTAAAACAGAATTGGTGTTTTGTTATGAAATTATTATAATTATAGATTCAAAAAAAAGTTGTGTTTAGAATTTCCAAAAGCTGCTTTAATGTTAAGTTTTTTTTTCCTGGATCATTTTTAAGACATTCCCTCCTGGGAAAAAATATGTGTGCTTAAACTTTTTTCAGTCAGGGTGATGATCTGCTGATGCTCTTGGATGTCATTTGATTGGAATATGCAGTGGAATAGGTGAATCACTGAAATGTCAATATAAACGTTGGAACAACTTGTGCTGCAGAAATGAAAGCGACCAGAACCGTCTTCTGTTCAAGAATGTCTACTTCAACTCTTTGTGAAGGAAGTCGGGCCAGCACTACAGTGGAGATAACCACCTTTGTTGATGATGAGAGACAGACAAGAGGACTGCTGTTGTTTTTATAGGAGCTGCCCATTTATGTGTAATTGGCCTGGGCTGCATGGGCTACTTTTATTCACGGTGGGAAAGAAGATTCTGTTTTTTGCTTCCAGAGTTGTGTACATCAGTAATGCAAAAATAGATTTGAATGGCGTTTCCCAGATTTTCAGGTCCTTTGCTGTTTGATTTGTCCTTCAATATAGTGTACATTGCATATGCACATGTTGTTATGATACTTCACATGGACTATAAGATTTATTAATGTGGACATTAAGGGATAAGAAATTTAAGGAATGAACGAGGGTATATTTTTCTTTACTCTTCCAAATGTATTTTTGATATATTATTATAGAGATATAACCATCAATAAAGCATTGATGATGGATAGTTTCAAAGATTTTTTTTATCTCGTTGTTCTTTGTAAATCCTCTCTGCTTCTAATCCCAGCAAGCAACGTGGGCACGTATTTTAAAAGTTGAAGAAAAGTAACATTGTTTCCGTTTTTTTTTTAATATGTAATGGCTGACTGTACAAGTTAGATTTATTTATTGTGTAAACTTGGGGCCCAAGATGACATTTTTAACCTGCTTATGAACAGGCACTGGATAAATTAGATAAAATGGAAAATTCTTTTTCCACAGGGTGGCTTAGGTCAGTCAAATTAGTGATGCCTGTCCATTAACCATTTGTGTATTATTAATAAAATTATAAGAATAAAATCATAATGTCTTGTATACTTTTTTTTTTATATACACGCAGATGCATGCACATACATATTGCCTGAAATTAGTCAGTGTTTATTATGTTGTCATTTATTTTGGGTTCTTATAGATTGTACATTAGAAACCAAATCGATAATGAGGAAATATTGAAAAAGAAATGTTTTTGGAATTATTCTAATTCCTACTAGACCATAGGAATAAAAATACCAACTTAATCTTTTCCCAAGAGTCCCCAAATTTCTGACCATAACAATCCCCTTCTGATAAGGAACCCTAGTGGACTAAATTCAGTGGAGAGTAGTATGTCACCAAAAATGTGAAATGTAAATAAGGTATAGGACACCTAGACTATCATTCTTTGTACCTGTGGGTGGAGAAAAGTAGTGAAACTTCTATCTGTATCCTTTTTATCTTAAATTAGAAGAACTTTAAAATTTAAAAACAAACTCTTCCTGAGGGATTTATTTTTGATTCTCTTCATCAAAGAAATGAAATTTTCTATTTTTTCCTGTACGGTAGTTGAATTGTCTAGCATGGGCTGACCTTTGTACTGAGCAGAGAAACCTTAATGTCTCAAAAAAAGATTGATGAGAGTGGATAGTAAGATGTTATTTTTGAAATGAAGTTTTGTAGTGCTTTAAATACATACTGCAATATCAACCCTTAAATGATTTCATTCACAAAAATTGAGAATCAGATACCTGACAGTCTGTTTTTTTTTTTTTTTTTTTTTAATGTTTGGGAGGATCCCTGGGATTTCCTTTGAAAACTTGATACTCAGAAGTATTCTTGAAAGTGCCACAGATAAAGTATATAATCCTTTTAAAGAGACCAAGAAACCTGTGTAATTACCCAGAGCTCTGATTCCCTAAAGGTGGATTAAAAAAAGTCATACCAGATAGATGAAATGGAATATATGTGACAATTTATCTTTGGAGAGTCAAATTACAATTTTCAGTGAATGAAAGCAGTGAAGATAAATATTTTCTTTCATGTTTTTACAAATTGTAACAAGCATTAAAGTATGTAATTTTTTTGTCTGTAAATAATGTGACAATAATCCAAGTCGTCATATTCAAACTCATTTGGCCATGGAAAGTTAGAGGTTTTCCATTACCCTTAAAAATGTCATTCACCGTAAAAGAAAATATAGATGCAGAAAACCAACCAGAACAGCATACATTGGCTTAAATATTTTAAGGTAAACTTTCTTTAAAAATCTTATTCTAAAACTGTTCTAAATTTTCTTTGGCTATTTAATGTTAATGGATTTCTCACATATGTTTTGATGATTGTAAAATGACATCATGGTAGAAACGTAATTCAAGCTCAAAAAGCATTTAGGGATGATTATGTAATAAACTGCTAAATGGGTGTTGAAAGATTAAATTTCTGGTAGGGAAATCAGTAACTACTATTTTTAATATAGAAATTTAATGTGGCAGGTGTTCTAAGATTTCTACATGAACTATACATATAGTATTTTGGAGTCCCTGAGTAGCGCTAAGGATTTAGCCCTCGGCTGCTAACCCAGAAGTGTCTTGAAGAAAAACCTGGTGATCTGCTTACAGAAAGTCAGCCAGTGAAACCCTGTGGAGAACAGTTCCGCTTTTGACACACGTGGGGTCGCCGTGACTCTGAATTAACTCAGTGGCAACTGGTTATATATAGTGATTTAGTTAATTCTCAGTAGTATGAAGTAACTGTGTCAATCTCCAAACCCAGTTACTGTGGTGTGGTCCTTAATCACGCCTTAAAGGCCTAATTCACTGTATGAACATAGGAATAGGGTTCTCTGGGGTTAATGTTTTTCTCATTCCTGTGACTTCAACACTGACAGTCTAAACCCAGTATTTCAACTGGACTACTTTTGTGGACTAAATGGTGATATGTGTACTGTTAATTAAGAAAGTTCTAGTGCAGTAATGTCGAATATAAATATAATATGAGAAACATAATGTAACAAATTCTAGTAGCCTTAAAAAATATAAAACATGAAGTTTATTTTAGTAATATTTTAAATTTAACTCAGTATAAGCAAATATCATTTACAAGGTAATAATCATTTTAAAATTTGACATAGTTTCCATTTTTTTCTCATACCAAGTCATCGTAATTGAGTGTATACTTTACACTTAGAGCAATTTCCTGACTAGCCACATTTCAATGGCTCAGTAGCCACATATGGCTATTGTGTCAGGCAGCACACTTCTAGAGCTTTGTTATGAAACAATATACCTCTTTTTAAAGTGATAAAGTAAATTTTTTGGACCCAAATCTGTTGAGTTCTGAAACTGATTCTGAGTCCATGGGGAAGATCCATCTTACTCTAGTATATAGCAGATGAAAGTAAAATCTTGGAGTTAAGCCCAAACTCCTGCACGTGTCTTTTCATTCATTTAGGAAATGAAAGATTGCTGGTGCTAATTTATTTTAGCTTTCTGTATGTGACATTCATCTTTGCAGTAGTTTCAGGGAATTGACTTTGAGGAGAAAATAATGTTTAGAATCTTGTAGTATAAATTTGTTTTTAAAACATTTTTGTCCAGAGTAACTCCATGTTGCATCTTTAGGCTTGAGGATGAACATAACATTTAAAACACTTTGGACAAAATATTCTTTGCCTTTTGAAAAAACATAATTATGAAGAAAACTATTTGGATTCTATTTATACAATGTATAAAGATTTTGATTAAAAGAAAACAAATCGACAGAAGTGATAGTCTGGAGAGAGGCCGTTTTAAATTCCAACAGAGTTTATAAATGTTATTGCCAGGTCTGTGTTCTTTAATGATGTCACATTCTATTCCTCACAGTATTCAGTGTGAGGCAAGATAGGGAGTAGACACACTACGTTTATTGCATTTATGGGAAACTTTGTTAAGCAAAGAAAATATGAAAAGTGGGAGTAATGCTGCCTTAGTTTATATCCTAGTGGAACAAAAAGGGACTAATTTTACCTTGAATAAAAATATGCTTTTAGCATATGACTTAATGGCATTTGAGATTCCATAATTTCATTATAATTCATAAACTTTAATCCAAGATTTCAGAGAACTTTACTCCAGAATAGATGTACTGTCATAATTAGTAACTGACCCATTTTAATGTTATTGAGAAGCCAGAGTGAATGGGATCTGCATAAAGATTGGTGATACTCCTTTTAATAACTCAGTGGCTTCACCTCCATGTAAGTCTTGTAAGCTCTTCAGGTTTTAAAATCACTGGAAAGGTTATAATTGACATATATTGATTTTGTCATGTTTTTGTGACAAAAAAAAATTGTCAAACCAAGTTAAGAAAAGAATGTAATGTATTTTACAAGAAAAATCAGTATTTAACTGTAGAACTAATTTAAAATTTTAGAGTCTGCCCCAAACTCTCCGAGAATTGGAAGTCCACTGGGTCTAAGGAAAAGTACTGAAACAAGTAATCTTCAAGCAGTGTCTAGAGGTTTGTCTACCAGTTTGCCTGACTTGGACTCAGAGCCTTGGATAGAAGTTAAAAAGAGACATCGTCCTTCACCAGTGAAATTGAAGGTAAGTTGTTAATAGACTTGGTAAAATGTGCTGTACCCTGGGTGCAGTGTAAGTTCAGTGTATTTTTTATTTGTAAGGTGCATATGTAAAATTTGGGAAAGTAAAAACTGGAATCCTTATTCTCAATAAGAACTTGAGGTTTATACTCTAGTAGTGAGTTATATTTTATCAGTTTTTAAAGTTTATGTTTTATTTCTGAACATAATTTAAAAATATTTTGACTTAGCCTTTTTGTGACTAAACTTGGAGTTCCTGGGTGGAGCAAGGGATTAATGCACTCAGCTGCTAGACTTTGTTTAATATTTGTTTTTAATTAAAAAAAAATTTACAAAATGTGCCTAAATCTTGAAGTTATAACCTTGTTAAGTAGTTGTCAGGTTCTTGAGGGTGCATGTCAGGTTTATATATGTTCTGGTGATTTAACATGCAATAGAAAAGAGGAAGAATTGGTTTCTGTGTGGGCCATATGAGGATGTAAGAAGATTATAAAAGGACATGTGGTTATAAAAGGCTAATAGGTGGGATCCTTACAGTGGGGAAACTGCTCTGTATTTCCACTGTTATGGTGGCAGATACACAAACCTACGTATATGATAAAATGTATTGATCTAAACACATGCAAATACACCTGAATATAAATAAAATTGGAGAAATCTGAGTGAGATTTCTGGATCGTATCAGTGTCAGCATCCTGTTTGTGATACACTATTTTGCAAGATGCTACCATAGAGGGAAACTGGGTAACCAGATGAAACCCGTTGCCAGGTTTTATAATTTTATTTGTATTTATAAATAGATACATTTTGTTTATATTTATAATTTTATTTAAAATGTCAGTATTTATAATATGCTGGAAATTATGCAACTATTTAAACTTATGATGAAAGTCTTAGATGTTAACTTATAAATTTGTGAGGGATACATAATTTATCAAAATTTAAAATAATTAAAAATTATTTTTAAAGCAGAAAAGTTTGAAGACTGATGGGTAGTTGTCATGGTTTGAATTATGTCCCCCCAAAAATGTGTGTGTCAATTTGGCTGGGCCATGATTCCCAAATTTGTGTGGTTGGCCCCCATTTTGTGATTCTAATTTTATGTTAAAGAGGATTAGGGTGGGATTGTAACACCACCTTTACCCAGGTCACATCCCTGATCCAATGTAAAGGCAGTTTCCCTGGGGTGTGGCCTGCACCACCTTTTATCTCTCGAGATGAAAGGGAAGCAAGCAGAGAAATGGGGACCTCATACCATCAAGAAAACAGTGCCGGGAGCAGAGTGCATCCTTTGGACCGGGGTCCCTGCGCAGAGAAGCTCCTAGTTCGGGGGAACACCGAAGAGAAGAAGGCCGACGGAGAGAAAAAGCCTTCCCCTGGAGCTGACACCCTGAATTTGGACTTTTAGCCTAGTTTGACTGTGAGGAAATAAACTTCTTTTTGTTAAAACCATCCACTTGTGATATTTCTGTTATAGCAGCACTAGATGACTAAGACAGTAGTGGAAATAGTGCAGACTTTGAAGTTAAATAGCCTTGCATCCAAATTCTGGTTCTGCTGCATGACTGGGCAAGTTAAGTAATCCATTGACCTTTATTCGGCTCCAGGGTTTAAATGAGAATACATGTCAAGTGCTTACTATCTGGCATTGACCTGCTCTTGCTATTAAAAGTCTTCTGAATCCAAAATCCAAACCCATTGCTGTTGAGTCAATTCTGACTAATAGCAACCGTGTAGGACAGAATCGAACTGCTCCATATGGTTTCCAAGGAGTGGCTGGAGGATTCGAACTTCCAACCTTTTGGTTAGAAGCTGAGCACTTAACCATTGCACCACCAGGTCTCCAAAGGGTACGTAAGCCAAAGGAAAAAAAAAAAGAAACAACCAAACCTGTTGCCGTCGAGTTGATTCCAACTCATAGCAACCCTATAATAGGACAGAGTAGAACTGCCCCATAGAGTTTCCAAGGAACACCTGGTGGGTTTGAGCTGCTGATCTTTTTTTTCAGTTAGCAGCCATAGCTCTTAACCACTATGCCACCAGGGTTTCCAAATGGTATGTAGGATCTCTATTATTTCTTTCATTGTGTGTGAAACACAGTAAAAATTACAATGCCAATTAGTTTCTCATTAAAAAACAATTTATACACAAATTGTTTTGTGACATTGGTTGCAATCCCGACAATGTGTCAGCACTCTCCCCCTTTCCCTTTCCACCCTAGGTTCTCCGGGTTCATTTGTCCAGTTTTCCTGCCCTTTCCTGCCTTCTCGTCTTTGCTTTTGGACAGATGTTGCCCATTTGGTCTCGTATGATTGATTGAACTAAGAAGCACGTTCCTTAAACGTGTTATTGTTTGTTTTATAGGCCTGTCTAATATTTGGCTGAAAGGTGAACTTTGGGAGTGGCTTCAGTTCTGAGTTAACAGAGTGTCCAGGGGCCATAGTCTTGGGGTTCCACCAGTCTCTGTCAGACCAGTAAGTCTGGTCTTTTTTCGTGAATTTGAATTTTGTTCTACATTTTTCTCCCTTTGTGTCCAGGACCCTGTATTTGGATCACTATCAGAGTGGTTGGTGGTGAGAGCCAGGCACCATCTAGTTGTTCTGGGCTCAGGCTTGTGGAGGCTGTGGTTCATGTGGTCCATTAGTCCTTTGGACTAATACTTACTTGTGTTTTCAGTTTTCTTCATTCTCTTTTGCTTCAAACATGATGAGACCAATGGATGTATCTTAGCTGGCCACTCGCAAACTTTTAAGACCCTAGACACTGCGCGCACCAAAGCAGGATGTAGAACATTATCTTTATAAACTATGTTATGCCAATTGACCAGGATGTCCTCCAAGACCGTGGTCCCCTATTATTTCTTACAACTGCATGTGAATGTACAATTATTTGAAAATAATTTGAATGGCACTCTCAAAATAAAAATTCTAATTAAAAAACTTGGAGAGAGCGCCATTCAAATGATTCAAATAATGAAATTTAACTCTATAACGAAAAGGTGAATGAAAATATTTGGGCCTAGATGTTGAAAGGATGAAGAAGGCTATCACACTGAAGATTATAGTGAACAGAGCTCTTTTATCACTGAGATCAAAGCATAAAGGAAGCACAAAATATTTAAGATAGTGGTTCTCTACCAGAGGTGGGGACGTATTCAGATCTTGCCTCCTCAGGGAACATTTGGCAATGTCTGGAAACATTTTTTAGTTCTTACAGCTGTGAGAGTACTGCTGCATCCTAGTAAGTAAAGAATTACTTGATATAAAATGTCAATAGAATAGAGATTGAGAAACATTGATCAACAAAACTTTTTTTTTTTAATTGTGCTTTAAATGAAAATTTACAGTTCCAGTTAGTTTGTCGTACAAAAATTTATACACACACTGCTGTGTGACCCTAGTTGCTCTCTCCATACAGTGATAGCACACACTCCTCCTGACCACCCTTTCTGCCTTCTCATCTCGCTCCCGGACAGGAGCTGCCTATTTAGACTTATGTATCTACTGGAGCTGAGAAGCACACTCTTTACAAGTATCATTTTATGTCCTATAGTCCAGTCTAATCTTTGTCTGTAGAGATGACTTCAGAAATGGTTTTAATATTGGGCTAACAGTCCAGGGCTGTGTCTTCGAGGGTCCCTCCAGTCTCAGTCAGACCATTAAGTCTGGTCTTTTTACTAGAATTTGAGTTCTGCACCCCACTTTTCTGCTCCGTCAGGGACTCTCTGTTGTGTTCTCTGTCAGGGCAGTCATTGGTGGTAGGGTAGCCAGGCACCATCTAGTTCTTCTGGTCTCAG